GGAAGGAAGGAAAGAAAGAAGGAGGGAGGGAAAGAGAGAGAGAAAAGGAGAGTGGGCAAGAGGGAAGGAGGAATAAACAAACAGTAGAAATATCTGAAGTAATAACGGCTGAAAGAAATGTTTCTAAAATTAATGACAGACACCAAACCACAGATCCAGGAAGGTCAGAGAGTACCAAGCAGGATAAATAGCAAAAAATCTATATTTAGGCATATCATATTCAACCTGAAGACAAAAAGAAAATCTTGAAAGAAACCAAAGGGAGAAAAAAACACCTTACCTATACAGGAGTGAGGATAAGAACTACACCAGATTTCTCTTAAGAAACATATAAACAAGAAGAAAGTGGAGTAAATTATTTTAAATGTTGAAAGAAAAACACACATCCTTGAATTCTGTACTCAGCAAAGTTATTCTTCAAAAGTGAAGAAGAAATAAAAACTTTCTTAGACAAACAAAAATTGAGGAATTTGTCACCAGTAGACCTGCCTGGCAAGAAATGATAGAAATTCTTTAGAGAGAAGGAAAATAGCATAGGTTGGAAACTTAGAGCTACATAAAGAAAGAAGAGTGTTAGAGAATGAATAAATGAAAGTAAAATAAAATCTTCAAGTTTCTTATTCTTAATTGATCTAATAGATAACAGTTGGCTTGAGATAATAATAGCAAATATGAATTTGGTGATTATAGCTTATGGATATGTGAAATGAATGACAGCAATGTCATAAGGGACAGGAAAGAGGAAGTGGGAATACTAGTGCAGTACCTGAAGTGGTACAGCGTTATTTGAGAGTGGACTTGGACTAGTTCTAAACGTATTTTGCAAACTCTAGAGCAACCACTAAAAAGAATTTGAAAAGATGTATAATTGACATGTCGAGAGGAAAGAAAATAGAATCATATAAAATGCTCAAATAAAACCAGCGAAGACAGAAAAAGAGTGAAAGACAAAAAAAAAACAAAGAACAAGGGCAATGAATAGCAAACAGAAACATGGTAGATATTAATTCACCTATATCAATAATCACTTTAAATGTGAATGGTCTAAATACACCAGTTAAAGACAGGGATGTCAGGGTGGATAAAGAACAAGACCAAATTAAAAGTTGTCTACAAATCACACGGTTGGGCATCACATAAGAACATCCATGGGTAAGCCAAAAGATGCGTGGGGGGGGGGTGGGGGGCTGTGGTCAGGAGACTTAGGTTTCAGTCTGGTCTATCCACTAACTAGCTGTGTGACTTTTGACAAGTCACTGACATTCTTTGGGCCTCTCTTTATCCTTCTGTAAAACAAAGGGGACTTAGACTAAATTTCTTTAGCTCCCTTACAGCTTGAAATCCAATGCCTCTTTACTAGGATCTGATGAGTAAATGTGGACAGTAAGGGAGGAGGCTGAAGCATCTACTGGTGCTTTTGGTTGGACTGACTTCACAAGAGATCCAGCTGCAGCCAGCAGGGGTGTGTGCATGAGCATGACAACACAAATCCAAAGTCCTGGCTACTTTGTGAAAACTGAACTCTTGGAGACCACTGGGTGGCAGGAATCCCTTACCTGGGTCCATATTTGACTAGGAGAAAATTACAAGAAGTCTGCAAGCAGCTTTTGGGTTGACTTGCAACCTACTGGTAAGGAAGGAGAACAAGTGAGAGAGGAATTCAGGAGGTCTTTGCTGAATGCAAGGGTGTGGAGGGGACAGAGGATTATTACAGCTCCTTGTCTGGCATTCCTGCCCCATCATCATCTTTTCATACTAAAAGTACCTCACCTTGCCCACTATTGCCCTCTGAGCCATACATATGTCCTCTACAGAACAAAGAGAAAAGGGAAGTTCAAATGTTTCAGTCACAATTTTAAAACTGCTCTTAATCAGGGGTCCCCATCCACTGCTACCAGTCCCCAGCCTGTTAGGAATGAGGCCACACAGCAGGAGGTGAGCAGGGGGCCAGCGAGCGAAGCTTCGTTTGCCACTCCCCATGGCTCCCCATTGCTGGCATTACCACCTGAACCATGCACGCTCCCCCTCATCTGTGGAAAAACTGTCTTCTACAAACCAGTCCCTGGTGCCAAAAAGACCACTGCTCTTAATGATCAAGATCTTGTTTGCAGCAGCTAGCAAAAGCCCTGCTGATCCTCAGAGATAACCATGGCATGACTTGGTCCATTTTGGCCAAAGGCATGACCATTCTGATGGAAGAAAGTGGAAGAGAACCTTTTAAACTATCTTTAAAAACCCAAGGGGATATCAAAGGTAACCTGAATCAATGACTCTGCATTAAGTCAGGGTTGTAGGTCAGTACCCTAGACTGGCAGATCACAGCACATTTTTTACTTTCCCAGGAGGTTCTCTTCCTAGGGTTAAATGATCTGAATTGACTGAATTATTTCCCTCTGATACAGGCATTGTATGGAAGCTGGCCCTTTGTTGATCTTACAGATACCTCTCATCTAGGTCTAAGTGACATTGTTATAAAACTGCAGACCCATAAAGCACTATTTCCACTGGGAAACTGTGGAAAATCTAATATCCCATTAGATGGAAGCCTCCATGAAGGTAAGGATGTGACTGTGTTTGCAAATCATTGTGCCCACTATGCCTAATTCAGTGCCTGCCACATAGTAGGTGCTCAATAAATATTTGCTGAATTAATGAAAAAAAATCCACTACAAATGTGGGCCTGGAGGAAGCACGCTTAGTTCAAATTTGATGATTTATGAAAATACTTTATAAAACTGTTCATTCACTTAACAATCACTGAGTATTTTCTATATGATAGGCACAAAAATACAGAAAGGAATGAGGTGGTATGCCAAATCTCATAAAGAAGAGGGGAACGATATTCACTGAGTGCCACTATAAGCTAGGCATGTATTATTCATTATTTCATCCTCCCAGTAACCATGTGAGGTAAATATTATTAGCTCCCCCCAATTTTTGCAGATGAAGGAACAAAGATGTGCACAAAAGCCTACATCCAGCAAATGGCCTGAATTTATTCAATGACCTGGATACTTTCCTCCACAATATACTTTCCCCCCAAAATAAATTTAAAATCACAGTGTGATGTTCTGTTATGTGATGTTTTGTAAAGGAAACTTAGGTTCTCAAAAATTGAGTTATAAACAAACAGTTTCATTTGGAAAAGAGGTTTAGGTTCTCAAGTTCAAGTTATATATGTTGGAAAAAATTCTGGTAATAGAAGTGCTTTATAACTACATGAGCATGTACTTGAAGGCTAAAAATAATAAATTGCTTGAACAAAATAAGTGAAAATTACTGAGTTAAGTCCTAAATATCATCTAAGACCTAAATTAATGAATTTCTAACTTATCATAATCCATTGTTATGATAAATAAAGCAAAACACTGAACTAAGATTGTTGAAGTCAAAATAAAGTGCAGCATAGTTCCCATTGCCAACAAAAGAACATGAAAACGAGAATCTGCCAGCTGCTCCTTTGTGCAAACAGCTTCCTCCTAGGACCCTGGTGCCTATTCCCAACTGTGCTTGAATTATCCGGTAGATATTCATAATATGAACTGTGATCCCCGAGTGATGTATTGTGCTAGATCCTTTTCGCTTTATGAATGCTCAGACAGGAGGGAAGCCTAAAATTGGGAAATGAATTCTTAGACACAGGGCAACTTAGACAAATGCTCAGGGTCAGGCTGTCTTGTAGGGATGGGAGGCCTGTTGCAGAGGTGACCACCTGACCTGCACGTCTGAGGGTCACAGAGAGGCTCTTGAGTCGCCTGTTTCCCTGGACCCTAAAGCAGTTTTGGGAATTTCCATTTCTTCCTAATGGGTGAAAATACACAGGACTTGAATCATCTGCCCTCATAACACTGGCAGGAATTTTGAAAACAAATTGTTCTCACCCACCCTGCCTGGATCAGATGAGGAATTGGGAAAACAGAGATTCATGATCAAACCAAAATTCCAGCAGCTCAGAAAGTGCCCAAGGTGGTGGGAAATGGCCTAGGACTGGCACACTCCTCAAGGATATGGCCCAATCCTAGTACAGTTGTGACCCCATTTACATTTTTATCATGATTTCATAACAACTCTGAAAATAAAGTCATATTCTTATTTTTACAGATGAAGAAACTGGAGATGAGTGAGTCACAGCTAGCAACCATCAGAGTAAGACTTAAATCTTGAGTCTTCCAAATCCACATTGAATAATAATAGACTTTTCACCACAATCTTAAAGGGTGACCTCAGGAATACGTGTTGTAGAAGCAGTGGCTTTGGAGTCAGAACTGTGTTTGCCTATCTGGATGTACCTTTTTTTTTCTTTTTTTTTTGCGGTACGCGGGCCTCTCACTGCTGTGGCCTCTCCCGTTGCGGAGCACAGGCTCCGGACGCGCAGGCTCAGTGGCCATGGCTCACGGGCCTAGCCGCTCCATGGCATGTGGGATCTTCCCGGACCGGGGCATGAACCCGTGTCCCCTGCATCGGCAGGTGGACTCTCAACCACTGCGCCACAAGGGAAGCCCTGGATGTACCATTTTTAGCCAGATAATTAGGTAAGTTCTTTAACTTCATTAAGCCTTAGTTTCCTCATCCGTAAAATGGGGGCATGCATAACACCTAGCTCGTGGGGTTACTGTGAGGATCAAAGGTGATATGCATAGAGCATGCTCAGCACAGAACTTGGCCCTCATCAGAGCTAGACAGATGTTGAGGGTTTCGGGTCATGTTTAGGGCATGGACTCTGGAGGGAGGAATTTCCTTTCCTCCTCTGTAGTTTAGCATGCCTTGGTTTATCCGGTAGATATTCATAATATGAACTGTGATCCCCGAGTGACGTTATGTCCCCCAGGAACATTTTATAGTATCTAAAGCTACAAGGATAAAAAGTTGACACAGGCAGGGAGTGCTTGGGCCTAGAGTGGGCATGGAGGATGTCCACCCCACTGGGAGCACATCTATGCCTCCTCCCACACTGCCACCTGCTCTAGGTCCCTACGGCAGCAAGGACCCTCCATCCCCACCTGGAAAGCCATGGAGTTGGCAGCGGCCAGAAATATCCTCAGGGGCAGCTTGGCCTTGTAGGACCTGTGGCTCCACAAGCGATGGGCACCAGCTGTCACACCCAGAGCAGTCAGGAGGAAGCAGAAGTAGGCTGCAAGACACAAGCAGGGAGAATGTCAGCAGATGTCAGTGCTTTTAAACTTTCCCCAACTTTTTTCTCTCCTGGATAGGAACCTGTGTGAAATGGTATCAGGGGAAGAATCTGCAATGTGAAGAATCAGTAACTTGGGGAAATGCAGACTTTTTATTGATTTGTAGCTTTCCAGTACAGGCGGAAGTGGAGAGAACTTTCCTCAAGAAACTTTGACCTTGGAACATCATTTTTTCTATATCAAAGGAATCTTCTATTTGCAAATGTTTCTTGCCAGTCTGGATACAAAATCACAACCATATTAGTGTGCCTTTGTAATTCTTATGCATCCACTCTCGGTGGAGCTGAGATAGCTCTCTATCTTACTTCTTAATTGGCACCCATGGCAGGATGAGTTCTATGAAGAGTGTACTTCTAAACAACAGTGCCCGTTTTCAGTGCCCATTTTCAGGGCTTCCTTGGTTTGAAGGAACTCAGGCCAGACTTAAAGCAATGAAGTCCGGCTCAGGGCCAGTAAGAATGAGGCTAAAGCTGACACCAAGGACAGCTGAGATTTGTCTTCTAGAGCTCCTCTCTTATACCATCACTATGACTGAGCTGGTAAAGATGGCCAGGGGGGGAATTTTTTTAGAGCCAACCTACAGTGGAGCTTATTATCTGTCACACATTTAAATATATTATCTCTAATCCTCATAAAATGTATTAGCATCTCATTTTACAGTTGAGGAACTGGCTCTCTGAGAGTTAAATCCTGCATATAAACCCAGGTTAGCCTAGTTCTAAAGCCTCTGCCCATGTTGCCCCTAGGTGGTGGTGTTGATTTGCTCTTTGTACGACACTTGGGAAAGGTTGAGTGCGCGGTAGGAAGGAGTCCCCAAGGGACAAAAAAAATCACGACTCTTAAGATTATTACAACTACTCTAGTGGTTTTAAAGCAATGTTCCCACACAACGTTAAATGTCTTACTTGGATTATCTTATTAAAACACATCAAACAACCCTTATAGGGTTTGTATTATTATTAGGACCATTTTACAGTTGAGAAAACAAAGGTTTAAAGAAGTTAACTAATTTCCCAGTGTCACAAGGTTACGGAGTGTCTTTGCTAAGAGCCAAACCCAAGTCTGTCTGAACCAAGAGCAGAGTACCTGCCCTCTATACTCTCCTTTGTCTCAGGGAGACATCAACCAGGTAAATGGTTAGTTTTATCTTCACTTTTCTACACCCTACACCTTTAATATTGGATCTCAATTTAAATTTAAATGTGAGCTGCTTCCTTACTTGAGGGGAGAGCCCTAAACCAGGCTATATGTAGGCAGGATCAGGCTTACACACAATCCTACACAATTTCTTCTGGCACTTAGCACATACAAGGCCCTCCATAAAGAAGTGCCAAAGACCAAGTGACCAGCTGTGAGTACATCCCTGAGCAGTTGTGAACGGTACCCAGGCCAAGTTCTTACGGAACCCTCCGTAGGACTTCTTTGGGAGAATTACTAGGGTAACATCAGTGTCGATACACATATTTACAGGGAGCACACTGTTACATCTTCCAAAAGTCAAGTCTGACTAATCTTATCTCAATCCATATGTATATGGTCTAAGAACTAGACTCACCCTTGGCACTAAGATTAATGAGCATGAGTGCATGTGGTTTTCATGAACTTGACATATCATTCCTTCTCTGAAAGCTTAAAAACAAAAAACAACAATCCGCCCATAAATCACGGAAAGTAGCAGTAAATAAAAAGCTCTGACCTTTTTTGTTATTGTAATTTAACTTTGGTCATGAGTCCATGAAATGGACAGCTATTTTCCATGTCATCCCTGGCCTTCATGGCTCTGCTAATAACTTTTTTCCAACTGTCAAGCAGTTAGGGAACAAGTGAAATCTATAATGGAAAAATTCAATGTGACCCTTTTTTTGCCAGTGGACTAAGACACTGGACCTTGGCTATAATAAGATGAATTCCCAGACTCCATGAAATATATTGGCCAAATGGAATCCCTCCAATCCATGGTTCCCAGACAGGGCCTTACCACGGACTATGGCATTGTCTTGTCCTTTTTAGGATCTCCAATATTTCAGGGGTCATTTACATGGTTGGTCTGTGCATGTCTGGGCCACTGACAATGGGCTCGAGTCAGAGCCTGTACTGGGCAGTAGTGGCTATTGGTTTTTCATGGTCCTTCTTTTGGCAACAGGAATGTGGCTGTGTGACCCAGGGCTGGCCTAGCATTATACCCCATCTCCCTTGTCCTGGGAATAAACACCTGACCCAACTTTTCTCTCTTCTGGCTTAAAGACTAAAGGTCACAAACCAATGCATGATTGTAATAGTAAAGAATGAGGCCCAGAAAGCAACTCATGAAGATGATGGACAGAGCTAGCTCCACAAGAGCTAGAAGGATAACTGCCTGCATTGAGTCACTGGTTGCAGGCCCTGGAGTTCTATAGCTCTTCTTTTGATCCTGTGGGCCTCCCCAGTATTTCTCCTAGTGATGTGAGCCAACAAATTCCCTTTTCTTGCTTAAGCCAGTTTGCACTGGATTTCTGATACTAAAATTCCGCAGAATCTCTAGGAAAGAAAGCAACCTTCTGTTCATATTCCAAATGAGGATAAACTGCAAAAACCCTGGGCTGGATGTGAGGCTTTATGGCCTGTTCCATTAAAAGGACTCAGTTTTCCTATTTTGACAGGGCTAATTTGAGAGGCTCTTAACCTGTCTTCTATGATGTTTGTGGAAATTAATACCCAAACAAGTTCTGATGAATGCTGGCTAGCTGGCTCTAAGGTATTAAAGTGCTCAGACAGAGAAGTGATGATTTCGGAAAAAAAAAAAAAAAAAAAAAAGAGTAATAAACAGTGCCAATAACTTTACCAAGTGACTTTCACCTCATAGAGAAAGGTGCTAAAGCAACAGAAACCAGAATCACAAAATTACAGAACAGTAAGCAACAAACATGTTGGTCTGTATGCAAATAAGTGTCACCAATTCTAGTTATCTGAAGCCAAAAAGAAATGTATTAAAAAGATATTGAGTAGGGGCTTCCCTTGTGGTCCAGTGGCTAAGACTGTGCACTTCCAATGCAGGGGGCCCAGGTTTGATCCCTGGTCAGGGAACTAGATCCCACATGCTGCAACTAAGAGTTTGCTTGCCACAGTGAAGATCCCACGTGCTGCAACTAAGACCCAGTGCAGCCAAATAAATAAATAAACAAATATTAAAAAAAAGAAAAAGATATTGAGAGTAGCCTACAGAACTCATGGGAAGGTTGCAGGATAGGGCTTTTGTTCACAGCCTCCAAGCTGGTCCCAACACTCCCCACCTCCTGGCATTCACAGCCTTGTGTAGTCTCCTACCCTTGAGTAACTTGCTTCTAACCAAAAGAACATAGTAACATTGAGGGAATATCCGTTCCATGATTAGGTTACAAAAGATATGATTTCTGTTTTGCTAGCAGATGCTCTCTTCCCTTAGGCCTGGTGAAGTAAGCTGTCATGTCAGGAAGGCCCAGATGGCAAGGAACTCAGGGTTTCCTACAGCCACCAGCCAGTGAGGAAATGAGGCTCTCAGATCAACAGTCCTCAAGGAACCGAGTCCTGCCAGCAATGGTGTAAGTGAGCTTGGGAGTAGTTCCTTCCCCAGCTGAGCCTTCAGTTAAGACCACAGCCCTGGCCAACACTTTGCTGCCTTACGAGAGATCCTGAAGCAGAAGACCCAGCCTAGCTGTACCTGGACCTCTGCTCCACAAAAACTATGAGAAAGTGAATGCATGTTGTTTTAAACTGCTAAATATTGGGGTAATTTGTTCTGCAGCTGTAAGTAACTAATGCAAGACTTAAGTAGGAAACTTCCCTCGAGGGAAGGAAGGCACAGTTTAAATCCCAGTTTAAGAAGAGTTTGCCACCTACAGGAACAGAAAGTAGATTCACATTGCATGGGGCTGGGGACAAGGAGGAGAAGTGGGGAATGACTGCTAACAGGTACAGGGTTTGGGGGTAAAGAGTGATAAAAATGGTTGGGAATTGGGCTTCCCTGGTGGCGCAGTGGTTGAGAGTCCTCCTGCCGATGCAGGGGACGCGAGTTCGTGCCCCGGTCCGGGAAGATCCCACATGCCGCGGAGCGGCTGGGCCCGTGAGCCATGGCCGCTGAGCCTGCGCGTCCGGAGCCTGTGCTCCGCAACGGGACAGGCCACAACAGTGAGAGGCCCGCGTACTGCAGGAAAAAAAAAAAAAGTTTGGGAATTGATTTTGGTGATAGTTGCACAATCCTGCAAATATACTAAAAACCAATGAATTGCACACTTCAAATAGGTGAGTTGTTTCCAAATTCTTTCTTCCCTCTCTTCCCTTTCTCATATTTTTCTTCCTTTTTTTCCCCTCCACAAATTAGAGGCCTTTGAGATAATAAGGTAACACTTATTAAGCATGTGCTCTGCATCAGGCATGCTTACATATATTAACCTATTTAATCTTCACAACCACCCTGTGAGGTAGATGGGGACAGTTATTATCACCATTTTATTTATTTATTTATATTTTAATTGACATATAGTTAATTTACAATGTTGTGTTACTTTCTGGTGTACAGCAAAGTGATTCATATATATATATGAATATATATACATATTCTTTTTCAGACTCTTTTTCATTATAGATTATTACAAGCTACTGAATATAGTTCGCTGTGCTATACAGTAGGTCTTTGCTGTTTCTCTATTTTATATATAGTAGTGTGTATAATACTTCTTAAAATAACCTCCTTTCATTCACCTTCAAATACTTTGCACACATAAGATCATTGCAATCCCTATTACGGGAGTGATAAAATGAAAAGATCAGTATTTGGGAACAGAGTGCAAAAAGAAGTTGGTTCCCATGCTTTCTTAAACCAGTGCACAGTAAAAGTCCAATTAAAAAAAGAAAAATGCACCACACTGCATAACAGTGTCAGAAAGGAGGCTGGAGAAGGGAGCCTACTCTCACTGCATGCCTG